TGTTTTCGAATTTTTCAGGAGGTCTCAATCGATGTTTAATTGCCTGAAAGATCCCTGCAGCCCGTCCAGCTCCGCCAGAAGTTTCGTCTTCGCTTCCGGGAGTCGGGCATTCTCGTTCGTCCGACTGAGCTTCTCCTCTCGCAAGAACCAGTCTCTGTTCCTTTCAATTTTCTCCTTCCACGCGTCTGAAAGTATCGCTTCGTTAGGGAAAAGAGAAGAAAAGAAAATTCAAATAATTGAAAGAGCAAATGAGAATCTCCAGGGAACCATTCAATTCATCCAAAGTGCCAGCTTTCCCACCCCACTCGTTTGGCAGTATATCTTTGCCCATGTACGTGTGCAGCTCCTCGCCACCGCCAGTGTGAATGCAAAACTTGAAACGTGAAGAGCTTGCATGTTAATAATTGTAAAACAGAATTTTCAACCTGTGGAACTGCAGTCTCGCGGTTTCACCTACCTTCTGAATCAGCCGATCCTTTAGCAGAGGGTAGAATATATTGAGGATACTCTCGATAAAGGCAGGCGCGTGGAGGAAATGGACTCTGTGCAATCTCATTGGCATGCTGTCCTGCACTGCCAGCATCGACTTGCGGACAATACTCTGCGTCGGGCTGCACTTTGTGAAATGCACCACGCTGAATCCCTGAGTCGAGGGATTTCCAGAAGTTTGACATGAAATGAAATGGAACACATCATACTGACTTGATCCCTGAAGCGATGATTTAGACTTTTTGATAACCTAGGTTTAAATTATACTAATAACAATAACTAGGTATGTGCTTTTGTAAATTCAAATGTGCAACAGTAAGGTGTTAATCAAATGTTAATTTATATATAATTTCGAAATTTGGTAGTGTACAGAGTAAGGGACCAATGAGGATTATATTAAATATTTGTTACAATATTATGTTACACAGGATGCAGTAATATGTATAATACTCCAACACGTCCTGTACTGAGAAATACGTACTATGTAACAAGCCTAAATTTAACTGTTTGCACTCGACTGTCCCTACTGAGGGGACATTGTATTTAAATCTAGCTAACAGCTCGGACTTCCTCTTTGCTGACAATTATAATGGATGACATTTGGTGTTGTATTAGGGGTACCCATTAGTAATATCGTCTTTTTGGTACAAAATTTTATTTAAAAAGTTGATACAGTTTCAATTCATAATCTAATTTAACACGTTCCGTGCCATGTGTACCACCGGTGGTACACGTTAAACTT